AGCCCTGGGTAGTCTCTCCTTCAGGATGTTCTCCCTAACATGTTTACCCCAAAGGCAAAGTTAGAAGTTCTCATCCATTGTGCATTAATAGAGCCATGGGATTCCCTCTACCATAACACTTATTAAAGTATATAATAGCCACCTATTTGCTTGCCTGTCTACCCAACATGCACAGAAGTTTCCAAATTGTAGACACTTAACTATCGATTATATAGGAATGAGCTTGGAGAGAAGAGTCTACCAGTTTTGGACTCGAGTTGGCTAACTTTATTCTTTCCTCAGAAGAAATGGGGTGCTATGGTCTTTCCAATAGATGATTGTTCAATCATTGTATTGCCCTCCATAGTACTCTTTGTCTCTCATACAATATCTTTACTTTGTGCAAATGACAGCCACCGAGCACACAGTCTGTCCTATAATAGCTTTTAGCAAAATGCAATTTTCACGAGATGATAAGAGACTTAGCGAACTTACTATGCTACAACAGTATAAAGTCAGCATTTACTATACAAAGAATGTCCTGAGGAACACACACACATTTTCAGGAATAAGATTGGTTATGAAAGCCATTGATACATTTCAAATTCCCATTTATTTGATGTTTAAAATGTTTTTAATTTGAACCCAATTTAGACATAGAGAAAAGTATGAAAATTTATAGAGTTCCTTCATGTCTCTCACCCAACTTCCCCTAATGTTAACCTGTTATATAGCCATAGTACAATGATCAAAACTAAGAAATTTACATTGTTTAATTTGGAAATTGTATTGTGACTTAGCTATCTTATCATCAGATGCTTTCATTCTATTGATGGGAAGGTGAGTTTTGCAGCTGTAGTTGCAGAAAGAGAGAACTGGAGTAGGTGACTGCAGGGAAGTTCTACCCTGTCTACATTCAAAGGGATCAGACATTGAACTAGAGTGCACTTGCCTGCAAAAGGAACAACAATATCACTTTCTGAAAGCAAACTAACCTCTTATCTAAAAAGGAGAGAGATTTGGCTGAAAGAATGCTGGACTAGGGCACAGGGGGCCTGGGTTGAAGGCTCAATTCTACCACCAGTTAACTCTGTGAGACTGTGCAGATCTCAGCATTTCCAGCATCTTCACTGAGCTCACTGACTTCTAAGATCTCTCCTAACTGCAAAGTTTAATAACAGAGTATGATGTAGTTGAAAGAGCAAGATTTAAAGGCAGTATCACATTAACATTTAAGAAGCCATACACTTGACTATACTGAACAATAAAGTGAGGAGATTACCTGTGTATCTAACTGGAAGAGAACTGCCAAGGGGAATAATTATATTTATTTTATGCCACTGAAATACTGTACTTCATGGTTCTCTGTTGTCTTTCCTCAATATTGACTTCTGCTTTAATCTTTGCCTGGTACAGGAAAAGAAGCCCAAATATCCAGTTAGGATGCAGATGAAATGATATATGGAGCTCAATTTGGAAGAAAAGAACCAGTGGGGAAACAATCTTTGATGTTTGCAATAAAAGCAAACCGAGTTCAGAAATAAAAAGGAAATATAGGACAGCTTATAAAAGTAATCACTGCTTTACCTCATCCACTTTCATTCTCTAAAACAAACCTAATCTGCAAATGCTATGTGGAGTACTCCATCATTGAAGAGAGAGGAGTAGGTATAATGGGGTCAGAGAAATAGACAGTGAAGGGGGCAGAAGGACAGAGGATATTAGTTAAACTCCATTCAGTACACAGTATAGGTGAAAGCACTATGCTGAAAACAATAGCGTCTAAGTGAACAAAAATAAGGCAAAAAACCAGCACATAATGACAACATTTATTCAAAGAGTTTTCTGCTATAGGCTGCTGGCAGTCCTCAACATCAACTGTTTGCAGAAGAGCAGTATGTTAGTTTGCAATGGCTGCTATAATAAAGTTCCTCTAATTAGGTGACTTAAAACAACAGAAATACATTGTGTCGCAGTTCTGGGGTAAAGAAGTGTAGAATCAAGGTATCACCAGGACCACACTCTCTCTGAAGTCTCAAGGGTGGAATCTGTTCTGTGTCTTTCTCCTAGGTTCTCGTGTTGTCAGCAGTCCTGGACATTCCTTGACTTGTAGATGCAAGGCTCCAGTCTCTGCCTCGGTAGTCACATGGTTTCCCTGTGTATTCCTTCTCCTCTTCTTAAAACAGATGTCAGTCTTGTTGGATTAGGACCCACTGAAGTTGAGTATAATCTCACCTTGAGTTTATTGTAAAGACCCTACTTCCTAATAATGTCACATTAACAGATACTGAAGATTAGAACTTCAACACCTCTTTTTGAGGAACAAAATTCAACCTACAACAAAGAGTTTCCCAATTTTCAAGTATGAAAACCCTTTATCAATGCCCTCCCACAATGTAACTGACCTCAATCCACATAAATGGAGTTACAATATTAGAATCTGTTGATTGAGAAAAAAAGGCATTGAGACCAGGTGCTGTGGCTCATGCCTGTAATCCCAACACGTTGGGAGGCAGAGGCGGGCAGATCACCTGAGGTCAGGAGTTTAAGAACAGCCTGGCCAATATGGCAAAACCCTGTCTCTACTAAAAGTACAAAAATTAGCTGGGCATGGTGGTGTGCGCCTGTAATCCCAGCTACCCAGGAGGCTGAGGCAGGAGAATCGTTGGAACCCAGGGGGCAGAGGCTGCAGTGAGCCGAGATTGTGCCATTGCACTCCAGAGCAAGACTCCATCAAAAAAAAAAAAAAAAAAAGCATTGATTTTTATGAACTTTTTCTAAGTACTGTACTGCTTTCAAATACATTTGTATTTTATCATTTTTTTAAATTAATAATGGCACCCATTCACATTTGGACACCAGTCATACATAGAGGTACAAGACAGTCATAGTCAACCACATGATGGCTTGAAAACTAATGCTTTTGAGTCTTGACTTAGTTCCAAAGACGACATATGACCATGGGCAGGTTCCTTCACTATTTTTTATGGGTCTTAGTTTCATCTATGCCTGAGACAGGGATGTATTAGTTGACCTTTAAAATTTCACCCCTGACATTCTCATAAGTTTATATGAGAAAAAACATTTTAGGCAAGAATATTTCGGAAGTTGTGTTTTTGCTAGATAAGTTAATGTCTAATTTCACAATCAAATTTCACCCCTGCTAAGATGATGTGTCAGATTTTGGTATTTGCCAATGCTCTTCCAGAGGAATTTAAGATAATTCAATCAGGTAAATAGTTAAGGGCAGTAAATGCTTCATATTTTTTTAAAGTTGTCCAACTGAAAAGTTACAAACTCAGTTTGTCCGTAATTGATTTATCAATAACGAGGACAGACCTAGCAAGGAATAAATATTTAATAAATCTCCAACTTATCATTCTTTCTACAGTTACAGTCTTATAACTAGTTGCTGCTTGAACTGAAAACTTCCTGATTACACACCAGGAGTGCACATTACTAAAATAGAGGGATTTTTCATTTCCACAAGTTGCTACAAATGTGTGTGTTTTACATTCCTCACCAGAAATTTAAGCTCACCCAAAGTTTTCATATTCTGCAGGCTCTAATTAAGATGGAATATATCTTTAAACAATAAACTTCATGGCATAAAACTTTTGAGAAGCTACTAAAAGACACCATTTTTCTTTTCTTTTCTTTCTTTTTTCCTTTTTCTTGATGGAATCTCGCTCTGTTGCCAGGCTGGAATGCAATGGCGCGATCTCGGCTCACTGCAAGCTCCGCCTCCCAGGTTCAAGCGATTCTCCTGCCTCAGTGTCCCGAGTAGCTGGGACTACAGGCACCTGCCACCACGCCAGCTAATTTTTGTATTTTCAGTAGAGGTGGGGTTTCACCATGTTGGCCAGGATGGTCTCAATCTCTTGACCTCATGATCCGCCCACCTCAGCCTCCCAAAGTGCTGGGATTACCAGCATGAGCCACTACGCCTGGTCAATTCACCATTTTTCAAAGGTACTGTTGGTATTGGAGATATATATCTGGCTGGGGATATATATTCCTGGGATCATCACTGAGTCCCTCTTCCCCCCTCCACCTACCTCATCTAATCAATACCAACAGATTCTACTTCTTAGTTATTTCCCAAATTCACCCAGTCTGGTACACATCATTGCCATAATGATGTTCAGGCCATTATCATTCCTCATTTAGATTAATGCAAGGCACTGGAACTTCTATTTGGTGTTCCTGATATTTGTTGTTGTTGTTGATACTTCATGGTTGTCCATATTTCTGGGGTACATGTGATATTTGATACATGCAAAGACTGTGTAATGATCAAATCAGGGTAACTGGGATATCATCATGACACCCACTATCACTCCTACAATCCATTCTCCATACATGAACCTAAATCATCTTCTTAAACTATAAATCTGATGATGCTATTCCCGTTCAATGGTTTTTTCATTACTGTTAGTAAAGTCTGAGTTCTTCTGCCATACATACAATATTCTATATAATTTGGCCCATGCCCCCAGCTTCAATTTCATTTTCTGATCTGCTCCACTCCCGTCATGGCATTCAATATTCCAGTTGCATTGAATTCCTTACAATCTACTAAATAGGCCTTTTTCTCTCTTCCCTCCAAGTCTGTTTTTATGAGTCTTGCTCTGGCCAGAATGTCCTTCTGTCCTTCCCATTCTTTATCAAGTTCCTCTCACCCTTGAAGACTAGGCTAAGGCATTCCTTCTTGACAGGCTTTCCTGAACTACCCAGCCATCCTGTGTGCCCCCTTTCCCCAAACATTGAGAATGCCCATGCCATGACACCGATTGTAAGTACAAGATTCTGTTGCTCTCATCACCTTTCTATACCTCCTGAAGAGGAGAGAATACTTACCCGAATAGGTTAATTTCCATGATATCTGTTTGTCCAGGTTTACCATTTGATGGGATCACTGGGCATTGAAAGATGATACTCACATGCACAGCGCTCTCTTCTGGTTCCTGTCTCTTGCAACAGGATGAGTCAGAAAACAGGCTTCCACTTTGACTTTTTTTTTTTTTTTTTTTTTGATGCTTTCTTCTCACTATGTAAGAAAGCCTAAGGGTAGGTTAAACATCATGTTCCCTCTTCCTCTTCTTTTAGCTGCTTTGGTTTCTTCTGGACTGTGACCTTCACAATTGTTTTTTACCTTTTTTTTTCCTCCCTGTAGGTAAGCCAGAAAGGCTAGAGGTAGCTAGGGTCAAGTAAATGTGCTTTCACAGAAGAACTAAACTTCTGGCAAAGTCTTTCCCTTGAAGAGTAAACCTATTGACAGAGAATATTCTGGGATTACTTCACAAAGGTTATTTTTTCCCTCTCCCTGCCAGAATCAGGAGGAGGCAATTGTTGGCTCTTATTTGTCATAATCTGATAGGGGATTCCCCAAAAAAGGATGGGGCTCCACTTAAAAATGCCACCCTATCAGTTCTCACCCTCAAACCAGACCACACTTAACCTCCAAAAGTTCTTCATAGTTGTCAGGTGTGTTTCTACCAGCATATGGTTTTTGTGGCTTCTACTTAAGGCAATAAGATAATGGCTAGAATTCATTATATTTGCCTGTCTCTGCAGATTTCAGGATGGTATTTGCTCTGTAACCTCAATTATCTGATTGATCCAAGAAAAGGTGATTTTCAGTGTAGTCAGATGTATTTTTACTACAATGACAGGAATGATAATTTCCAAGTTCTTTACATGTCATATCTACTTTTGTTCATCTATAGCACTTATCACCTGCTGACACACTATGTCATTTATTTATTTATGTTTATTACCTGTTCCTCATGCTAAACACAATTGCTGTGGAGGCCAATTAGTGTATGTTTACTGTCCTAAACAAGAACCCAAAACAAGGACTTACCTCTTTATATCTGTGTTTCAATTAACATAAGGGAATAATTATTCATTTACAATGTGTTCTGTTGGGGGTGAATGATGGGCCCTGAAGAAAAGTAATATTGGTCCTGGCACAGTGGCTCATGCCTGCAATCCCAGCAATTTGGGAGGCTGAGGCGGGTGGATCACTTGAGGTCAGGAGTTTGAGAGCAGCCTGGCCAACATGGCTAAACCCTATCTCTACTAAAATACAAGAAAAGAAAATTAACTGGGTGTGGTGGTGCACACCTGTAATGGGAGACTGAGGCACAAGAATGGTTGAATCCGGGATGCAGAAGTTGTAAGCTGAGACTGAGCCACTGCACTCTAGCCTGCGTGATGAAGTGAGACTCTGTCAAAAAAAAAAAAAAAAGAAAGAAGAAAGAAAGAAAGAAGAAAGAAAGAAGGAAAGAAAGAAAGAAAAAACAGAAAATTAACATTGAGGTTCGGTCAGGTTAATGATTTAAGAACCACTATAGGCTATATCACAGGCCATAAAACATACCTTAACTAATGCTAAAGAACAGAAATCGTACAAAATATGTTATCAGATAACAATGGAATTTAACCAGATATCAGTACCAGAAAAATAGATGGAAAATCTTCATATATTTGAAAAGTAACATTTTTCTAAATGATATATGCATCAAAGAAGAAGTCTCAAGAGAAATTAAAAATTATTTGAACTAAATGAAAATGTAACTGCAACTCTATGAAATGTAGTGGGTGCAGTGAAAGCTGTCCTCAGAGGGAGACTTGCAGCATTGAATACATGTATTAAAAAATAGGAAATCTAAAATCAGTAAAGAAAGAAGAGCAATTTTAGTCTCAAGCAAGCAGAATAAAAGAAATGACCCAAATTAGAGAAGAAATCAATAAAATAGAAAACAGAAATCAATAATTAAAATCAACAAAACTCAAAGCTGGTTCTTTATAAAGATCAATTCAACAAATAAAACTGTAACCAGGCTAACCAATAAAAGGTGAGAGAAAAGCTGGGCGCAGTGGCTCATGCCTGTAATCCCAACACTTTGGGAGGCCGAGGCGGGTGGATCATTTGAGGTCAGGAGTTCAAGTACAGCCTGGCCAGCATAGTAAAACTCCGTCTCTACTAAAAATACAAAAAAATTAGCCGGGTGTGGTGGTGCGCTCCTATAGTCCCAGCTACTCGGGAGGCTGAGGCACCAGCATTGCTTGAACCCGGGAGGTGGAGGTTGCAGTGAGCTGAGATCGTGCCACTGCACTCCAGCCTGGTGACAGAGTGAGATTCTGTCTCAAAATAAAAAAGAGAGCGAGAAGAAACAAGTTACTAGTATTATAAATGAAAGAGGCATCATTACTACTGATCCCATCATAGTACAAACAATTCCATCCCCACACATTTAATACACATATGAAATAGACAAATTCTTTGAAATACATAAACTATCAAAACCCACAAAGAAGACACAGAAAATCTGACTAGGTCTGTATCTATAAAAGCAACTGAGTCAATAATTAATAAACTTCCAAAAAACAAAGCTCCAGATCCAGATGTTCTCACTGGTGAAGTCTACCAAACATTTAAGCAAAAAACTAACTAAATAAATAAGTGAGAAAAAAAGTTCAGTATTTCTTCCAAAAAATAGAATCAGAGATAAAAATTACTAATTCATTTTATGCAGCATTTCACTAATAGCAAATTCATATAAAGACATTGCAAAAAAGAAAAACCATGGACAAATACTTCTCATGAGCATAGACGTAAAAACTCTCAAAAAATCATCAGATTGAATCCAATGCTATGTAAAAATAATTATATATTATGAGAAGTTGGGATTTATTCCAGGCATGCAAAATTGGTTCAACATGTGAAAATCAATTAACATGATCCGCTGTGTCAATAAACTTAAAAATAAAACCATATGGTCATTCAGTTGTAACCTAAGCAGCATTTGAGAAGAATCTAACACACATTCAACATAAAAACTCTTGGCAAACTGTAAACAGAGGAGATTTTCCTTAACATGATAAAGAACCATGAAAGCCTAAAGTTAACATTATACTTAATGGTAAGAAATTGGACACTATTTCCTGAAGATTGGGAACAAGGCAAGAATGTTCCTTCGCACCACTCCTATTGAAAATCATACTGGAAGTATCAGTGAGTGCAATAATACAAGGAAAAGAAATAAAATGTATATAGTGTGGGAATGCATTCGCAGATAACGTAATTGTCCCTGTAGAAAATTCCAAAAATCAATAAAAACTCCTGCAACTAATAACTAAACATAAGAAAGTCACAGATATAATATTAATATACAAATATATATTGTTTTCCTGTATATCACCCCCAAATATACAGAATTTGAAATTAAAATGCAGTATCATTTACATTAGCATCAAAAAATGAGATACTTAGGTATAAATCTAACAAAATATATTCCGTATCTATATGGTGAAAACTATGAGAGTCTGATGAAAGAAATGAAATATCTAAATACATGGAGAGATAGTCTGTGCCCTTGGATTGCAGGACTCCATATGGTCAATATGCCAATTATTCCCAGCTTGATTTATGTAGATTCAATGCAATATCAATCAAATGTATGGCAAGCTATTTTGTGGGAAGAGAGAAACTGATTCTGAAATTTATATGGAAAGGAAAAAGACCCAGAAAAGACAAGAAACACTGAATTTGAACAACCAACTTGGCAGACTGACACTAACCAACTTCATGACTTACTATAAAGATACAATAAACAAGGCAAAGTGGTATTGCCAAAACAATACATAGATGAAGAGAACAGAATAAACAGTGCAGGAATGGACTCACTCAAATATAGCTAACTGATCTTTGACAAAAGAATAGAGGAAGGTAAACAGTAAAAATATTCTTTAAATAAATTGTACACCCATATGTGAAAAATAAATAAACAAACCTAGACACAGTCTATGAAGCTTTTGCAAAAATTGATTCATAATGTATTGCTCACATAGATACAAAATGGAAACAATAAAATTTCTGTAAGAAAACATAGGGGAAAATGTAGGTTACTTTAGGTTTGGCACTGACTTTTTATATCCGACACAAAAAGGACAATCCATGAAAAAAAAACAACAGTAAGTTGAGCTTTATTAAAGCTTAAAACCTCTTCTTTGCAAAAGCTGCTTTTAAGAGAATGGAAAGGCAAGGAACAACTGGTAGAATATACTTGCAAAACACACATTTAATAAACATTTTGAATCCAAAATATACAAAGAACTCCTAAAACTCAATAAGATAGATAAAAAACTAATTTAAAAATGAGCAAGACTTCTGAACACAAACCCTCAGATATACAGATAGCAAATAATCATATAAAAATGCTCAATGTCATTTTCCATTAGGTAACTGTAAACTAAAGCAACAATAATTATCATCACATCCTTATCAGCATAAATAAACAAAATATTAATAGCAAAAAAAAAAAAAAGCCACTGGAACTCTCACTCATTACTGTTGGTAAAGCAAAATGGTTTAACAATGTTGGATAAAATCTGGCAGTTTCTTACAAAGCTAAACATAGACTTACCACAAAAATCACACTCCTATGTATTCAACCAGCTAATTTTAAAACTTACACCCATGCCAAAAATTGCACGCAAGTGTTTATAATGGCTTTATTTGTAGTCACCAAAATGTGAACACAACTAAGGTGCTCTACAATAGGTGAATGGTTAAACATTTGTAGTACATCCATACAATGGAATACTATTTAGTATTACAGAATGAGCTATCAAACCACAAAAAGACATGGATGAATCACAAATCTCTATTGCTAAGTTAAAGAAACCTATCTGAAAAAGCATCATGCTGTATAATTCCAAATATATGGTATTCTGTAAAGGGGAAAACTCTAGGACAAAAGGTTGAGCTGCTGTCAGAACCCAGAGGTGGGGAAGAGAGGATTAGACAGAAGAAGCATAGGGAATTTTTAGGGAGGTGAACTTTTGATTTAATACTGTACTGGTGGATACATGACATTATGCATTTGTCAAAATCCATACAAGTTTACAGTACAAAGAATTATTCTTAATGTATGCAAGTTTTAAAAAAAGTAAGTGGTCAGGTGGCCCAGGATGGAATGCAGAATATGAGAGGAGAATTTCATTGCATTACAAACGTATGAAATAACCTCACTGAAATGAGTAGAGGAAGTAGGCATGTTGACCTAATTAACTTTGAAAATGAGTGTGGTCTTGAATACCAAAGCCAAATTAAACTACACATAAACACTGTACTCTAATTGATAAGATTGTTTCCAACAGAGATACGGATTAACAATTCTGAAAACACTATAAATGAATACTGAAATTGAGCAATTAAATAAATAGATGGCAGATGATGGGTGCCAGGTTTCTCAGAGTTGCAGTAGGAGTATGAAGATAAGCAAGAGGAAGACCTAGAATGAATATGTGGTAGTAGATTACAATTGAAAACATCAGTGTGAACTCATGTTTAACTTAATAAATACATAGATAATTACATATAGAAATAGCTATATACACATATACATATGGAGTATCACTTATGCAAAATGCTTGGGACCAAAGGGTTTCAACATTTAGAGTTTTTCAGATTTTGGAATATCTACATTTTACTTACCAGTTGAGCATCCCTAATCTAAAAATCCAAAATCTAAAATGCACGAATGAGCATTTCCTTTGAGTGTCACGTTGGCACTCAAAAAATAGCAGATCTTTGAGCATATGGAATTTTGGATTTTTGGATTACAGATCCTCAACCTAGATTTCCTTGTCCTGTTAGCTAAGACGGCCCCAAAGTAATGACACCATCAATGAGCACACCTCGTTCCAAGATCTTGGTTTCTAACACCATTCTCTAATAAAAGGAACCAGGGCTCATTGAAGAAATAGCTGACTGTGGGCCTGGGGCAGAAAGCATACAAGAGAATGGGGAGTCCTGTAGCAGAAAGTAATAAAATGTTAAAGAACTAAAAACCTACAAAGGATAGGACATGTCAAATGGGGATAGGAGCCAAATATAAGAACTCCTGTTCACCAAACCTAGAAAAATTATTTGAGCAACAAAATATAGCATCATTAAACTATAGCCAAATATATATATACATATATATGGATCAGGCCATAGTGATATAAATATACAACTGAATAAAAAATAAGTTAGTTTTGGTAGAAAATCTAAAATCAAAATCAATGGGGGAGAACAGGCAAATCTCCTGTACATAAATATTCCAAACAATTCATGTGAACACTCTGCTCTCAAGGAGATTTCACATAACTTCCCACTCCTTGAGTGTGGATTGTGCATAGTTAACTTCCTTCCAGAGTACAGTATAAAAAGGTGGGGGAAGGAATAATTTTGTAGTGGACAAATCTGACAAATACAAGCTCAGCCAAGTAATCAGAGTCAATGTCAACAGTGATAAGTCATGTTGATAGTTTTTACCCTTGCTATCATGTGATAACAATGACATTTACCTTAGTCAGTTTGAGCTGCTATAACAAAGTAGTATAGACTGGGTGGCTTTTGAACAACTAAAATTTATTTATCACAATTGTAGCAGTCGAAAGTCTGAGATAGGGGTGCCAGCATATTTGAGTTCTTGTGAGGGCCCTCTTCTGGGTTGCAGATGGTAAACTTTATTTTTATTTTTATTTCTGGGGTACATGTGCAGGATGTGCAGGTTTGTTAGATAGGTAAACGTGTGCCATGGTGGTTTGCTGCCCCTATCAACCCATCACCTAGGTATTGAGCCCAGAATGCATTAGCTATTTTTCCTAATGCTCTCCCTCCCCCTCCCCCCACTAGCCAACAGGCCTCAGTGTGTGTTGTTTCCCTCCCTGTGTCCGTGTGTTCTCATTGTTCAGCTCCCACTTATAAGTCAGAACACGTGGTGTTTCGTTTTCTGTTCCTGCATTAGTCTGCTGAGGATAATGGCTTCCAGCTCCATCCATGTCCCTGCAAAAAACATGATCCCATTCTATTTATTTATTTATTTATTTATTTATTTATTTATTTATTTGAGACAGAGTCTCGCCCTGTTGCCCAGGCTGGAGTGCAGTGGCGCAATCTCAGCTCACTGGAACCTCTGCTTCCCGGGTTCAAGCCTCAGCTTCCCGAGTAGCTGGGATTACAGGCATGTGCTACCATACCTGGCTAATTTTTTGTATTTTTAGTAGAGGTGGGGTTTCACCATGCTGGCCAGGCTGGTCTCGAACTCCTGACCTCGTGATCCACCCGCCTCAGCCTCCCAAAGTGCTGAGATTACAGGCGTGAGCCACTGCGCCTGGCTTGATCTCATTCCTTTTTATAGCTGCGTAGTATTCCATAAAGCTGTGAAATAAGTAGGTATTGTTTCAAGCCACTGTCTTTGTGGTAATTTGTCCAGCAGTAGTAGATTACTAATACAGAAATTGAGAGGTATATCTATGCAGCTAGCTAGGGAGAAATGCAGAAAACAGCAGGAGAGCAGAAGAGTAACATGACCTGATGTAGACTGTAACAGGCTCACTTTGGTCGCTGTATTGAAGATAGACTGAACGGGGCAAGGTCAGAGGAGCCTGGAGGGCAGGTGAGAGGATGCTGCAGTAGACCAGTCGAGAGATTATTTTGGTCTGGGCTAGGGTGGTGGTTGTGGAGGTGATGGAAAGGAGTCAGATTCTGGGCTTAATTTGAAGGCAGTGCCAAATGAATTTCTTGATAGAGTGAAAGCGGGATATGAGAAAGGGAGGAGTCAAGAATGACTCCAAGGTTTATAAACTGAGTAACAAAAGAATGGAGCTGATATTTACTGAAACGGAGAATCAAGTAAATCCTGGGCTGGATGGAGTCCCTCCTCACTGCATTTTCCTCCCAAGAGTTGTAACCTAATTCTAAGAGTTACATTTTAAAGTGAAAGTGTCCTAGGCAAAAATAACTATATCAATAGAACACTTGATGACATTTGTTGATCTCCTACATGCCACACACTATTCTGAGTGTTTTATATATCTCTAATTATCTTAACAGTCCTATGCAGAGGTACTCTTAACTCCTATATTTTAAAAATGAAAATATTAAGGATAAGAGAGGTTATACTTGCTTCCAGGTCCACACACTGTAAGTTGTGGAGCATAATGTTTATGAACACATAAATACAAGTTCTAGAATCAGGGAAACCGTACTCAAAACTTAGTTCTAGGCTGAGCACGGTGGCTCACGCCTGTAATCCCTGCACTTTCGGAGGCTGAGGCAGGCGGATCACGAGGTCAGCAGTTCAAGATCAGCCTGGCCAACATAGTGAAACCCCGTCTCTTAAAAATACAAAAAACAATTAGCCGGGTGTGGTGGCGGGTGCCTGTAGTCCCAGCTACCTGGGAGGCTGAGGCAGGAGAATCTCTTGAACCCAGGAGGCAGAGGTTGCATTGAGCCAAGATCGCACACTACACTCCAGCCTGGGCAACACAGCGAGATTCTGTCAAAAAAAAGAAAATCTTAGTTCTAGTTTTTACTATCCATGTGATCTTGAATATGCTATTTAATGTCTCTGAGCCTGAATTTCCTAATAGTAAGTGAACTGGGACCTTTCGCATGTGTTAGTTTATCACCCTCAAAGTGATCCAATGAGGCAGATTCTATCACCAGATACAGAGTCTAATGATTAGATCAGTGAAACAGCCTGCCTGGGTCACGCACCCCTGGGTGTTTGTGCGATGGTTCCCAGGGAGAATATGGGAATGGATTGGTGCCAATACACTTCGCATACTCTGCTGATGGCGAGATGTTGGCATTTCTACGGAGACAGCTATTTTGACAGCAATGCTGATTAAACAATTCTACTGACTAGAAATAGTGTAGACATTTTATTAATCAAAACTACTGATCTTTCTGAGTTTTATTAAACTGGTTGCTATTTAAGTTTCTGGAATAATAATAGGAGCTGCTAACTGTTGAGTGTTTCCTACATGCAGGACACGGCAATAAATGTCTTATTTTATATGTGCTAATAGATATAGTCTTCACGGCCTTGTCATATAAAGATTCACATTTTCTTGTTTTATAGATAAGGCAAGTGAGACATGCAAAGTAGCTTATTATCATTAAATAACTAGTATATGACCCATCTGGGCTGACTTCAGATCTGATGCCCTTAACCACTGCAATTTTGAGATTGACCACTTACTGTGAGCTAAGTGATATGGCAAATTCATGATATTTTCCTGTTGTTTAAATAAGGCAGAGATGGCTCCTGTGTATTTGCTGAAAATAGTCCCATGCTGTTTCTTATACACCTTTAAATTGCTTTAAATATTGCCCAACATAAACATATTTTTAACCATTTAGAGCCTATTTATTCTACATATCCTCATAAAATTTCACCCAATGTCTGCTAGCCATACGTAAGACAAATATTGTAGCTGTAAAGATCCCAAACCACTGCTCTTCTTCAGAGCCCTTTGATTCAGAGACTACGGTGCTGCTGAGCAACATCACCGAGTATATAACCCCCCTCTTCAACTTGCCTCTCCCCTAGAGTGTCCCTTGACTGATTCCTCTACAGAGTGGTGGCCCATGACTTTATCTCTGGAAGGTCTCCTGCTGGGAGTGACTTCCTGTCCCATGTCCCAAGTCCCATGCAATCTTATCCATATGCTGCCCAACAAAGCTTGTGTGCCTCTCATGATCCTGTCTCTTTCTTAATAAGCCCAGAAATACTTGAACTCGCTACATTTTCTCATCAGGACTAAATCATAGGCCTTTATTAATTTACTTTGTGTTTTTGTTGTAACATCTTTATTTGTGGTATAATTTGTATACCATAAAATGTATTCATTTTATGTGTCCAATTCAACAACTTTTAGTACATTTTCAGAGTTGTGCAACTATCACCACAATCCAACTTTAGAACAATTCCATTCTCCAAAAAGAAACTCATGCCCATTTATAGTAACTCCTTGTTCCCATCTCTAACCCCAGGTGACCAACTAATCTACTTTCTGAATCTGTAGATTTGCCTATACACTTTCTATAACATTTTATCAAGACAAAAAGCTGATTTTGACCCAGATGAACCAATTTTTAGTTATATAGTTACTTTAGACAAGTCTAAATGGTATTTTAGCAAGTTTATAAAGGCTCTAAAAGTCTGTAGTAAAATATATGTGTGTGTGTATCTATCACAGATGTAATGTAACTCCCTTAAAGACTATAACACTTTTGCATCCACTCATTCGTTTGAGCCAAACAACATCATGAGGAAGGCAGAATTCTATAGTAGCATTAATAGGACATGGGCTCTGCAATCAGAGCTGAGTTCTATTTAAGCTCCATGGGAATATAGACTATATCCATCAGGTTCACCACTATGCCTTTAATATTTAGCTGGATGCCTGGAACATAAGAGAACCTCAGTAACTGTTAGGGGGGTTAAAAAAGGAATGAAAGAAAAGAACAAATGAACTCTGTGACTCACCAGCAAGCTACAATGTAAACTTGATTTCACTGAGCCTCTAGCATCTACAAATGTGGGAAAACATCCACCTCCTAGAATTGGGAAGATTGAATGAGATGATGTTTGTTAAGTGCTTGACACACAGCTAAGGGTAGTGAGGTGCAGAAAAGTTTAGTTACTTGTCCAGTGGTATATGTCGTGCACTGTAGTGTTGGAAGAAGGGCTCAAACTCAGACCTGTCTTTCTGCCCACCTGAGAAAGCCATTAAACAGTAATTTACAGAATGTTTTGACAGACAGCTGAAACGAGCACAGATCATTGTGACTAGCTGCTATATTATTACAGAGAGGTGCAGTGATGGTGGAATTAAATGGTCCTACAATGTCATGTTTCTTCTCGGTAACAGTGGTCAGTGGTAGAAAAATCCCTTAGTGCAAGCCTATGTGATTTCAGAGTCCATCCTTTATAGTAAACGCCTTGCCTCACCTATTACTTACCTCCAGTCCATAAAATGGTGTTTGATCACTTTAAATCCTCTTCTCTGCTTGGCTTTGATTGCAAAACGTGGTCAGGTTAATTGGTACAATTAAAGTGTTCCTGGGGGATAATTACCCCTTTTACTTTCTATGTGTGAAGAAGGAGGATGACTGGTCCTGAAAATGGGATCCCTGTGGCACACTGAAAAGGAGAATTAAATACACAGTGAGATGAAGCCCAGAAAGCATTTTCTCTTGTCCTTAATATAATTAGCCAATAAAAGCATATGCAGTCTCTTATCTCTATTTCCGCCAATTCACACACCTTAGAGTAGGCGGAAAGAAATGATCTTGCATCTGAAATAAGAGAAAGCCGATGTCTGAGTCAAGGAAGTAGGAGTGAGCAGGAGGACTGGAGAGGTTTTTGTACATCTCCACCAACCTTGCCCTCCTTTCCCACCTGACACATCACCACACCATTGTTATTGCCAGGCCTTTCTGCTGAGTTTTGAGATACAACAGCCGCTGACAAAGTACCTTTTTGTTTTCTAGATTCCAGCCCCCGACACAACAGGAGTCTCCTCTGAGGATTCTGCCAGCGATAAAGCTCCCGTCCCCCACAGCTCCCAAATCACTCTCAGGCCTGAAGAGTGCTGCCCTGTCTTCAACACCAAAACTAATCCTGGGCTTCCGGAACTAAGGTGTATTCCCCAGCAAGACTTAAAGTCCACTCAGGAAAGTAGTATGGTAAGTCTTCTACCTTAAAAGCTGTTATAACTTCAATGCTTAGCAAATTGGGGGGGTTAGAAATTGCAAAACACTCTTTACACCCTGCAACTTGTATTAATGAGAGACAGGACTAGCTGGATTTCCTAGGCCAACTAAGAATCCCTAAGCCTAGCTGGGAAGGTGACTGCTTCCGCCTTTAAACACGGGGCTTGCAATTTAGCTCACACCCGACCAATCAGATAGTAAAGAGAGCTCACTCAAACTCTAATTAGGCAAAAACAGAAGGTAAAGAAATAGCCAATCATCTATTGCCTGAGAGCAAGGCAAAAACAGGAGATAAAGAAATAGTCAATCATCTATTGCCTGAGAGCATAGTGGGAGGGACAATGATTGGGATATAAACCCAGGCATTCCAGCCAGCAAGGGCTACCCTTTTTGGGTCCCCTCCCTTTGTATGGGAGCTCTGTCTTCACTCTATTAAATCTTGCAACTGCACTCTCTTTTGGTCCATGTTTGTTACGGCTGGAACTGAGCTTTCGCTCGCCATCCACCACTGGTATTTGCTGCAGTCACAGACCCGCCGCTGACTTCCATCTCTCGGGATCCGGCAGGGTGTCTGCTATGCTCCTGATCCAGCGAGGCGCCTATTGCTGTTTGGATCAGGCTAAAGGCTTGCCATTGTTCCTGCACAGCTAAGTGCCCAGGCTCGTCCTAATCAAGCTGAACACTAGTCACTGGGTTCCACAGTTCTCTTCCATGACCCATGGCTTCTAATAGAGCTATAACACTCACCACATGGCCCAAGATTCCATTCCTTGGAATCCATGAGGCCAAGAACCCCAGGTCAGAGAACATGAGGCTTGCCACCATCTTGGAAGTGGCCCACCGCCATCTTGGAAGCAGACTGCCACCATCTTGGGAGCTCTGGGAGCAAGGTAACATCGACAAGCACATTATGAAACATCCTTGTATTCAGGTTGAGTGACTTGAGCACCATGTGATTCAAAGACAATTTAGCCATCAAAGTGAATAGGCTCATTTATACAATGGATACGTTTCTCACAACCAGTCAATAACTAATGTTTCAAGTTGGGTGCAAGAACCGTGTTGAAATTGACATCCTTTAAAATGACATCCTTCTGAGTGATCAAGAGGAAGGGGAAACAGAAGAAACTTCAACAACAGAATCATAAGTATATGGCTTACTGGCTTATACTACAGCAAGCTGGAATCATCTGCCCATTGACTCCTCCAATTATGCTAAATTGCTAGAATGTAGACTGAAAACTGGTAGGAGTTTTGAAGTAATTTCACCCTTAACGGTTCTTAAATGTATAATTAAAAAATAAGTAGTGGAAAAGGTGACAGACGAGAAATGGCTTTGGAAATAGAGCAAGCGTCACCACTACTACATGACCTTGAAAATATTTCTTCGTTCTGTAAATTTCAGTTTTCTTCTCTATGATTGGAAGTGATCGATCTTCCTTTGTAAGATTATTATGAGGACTAAATGAGCTAGGTACAAAGTGCCTAGCAGTAGGCCCACCAGAGAAGAAATGTGTACTAAATGCTGGTTCTCACACCTTCTCAAGAAGACAGCCCATCATTGAAATGAGTTACAAAGTTCTTTGTGCATGGGAACTTTCCTAGACAGAAGGCGCATGACTTTCATCTACTGCTCAAAACTCCAGAAGGTTAAGAACCACCACAATAGACTGAACGTCCCAAAGGTAGGAAAGCCCCTTCCTTATTCATTTCTATATACACAGTGGCACATTATTTTGAGACATGAATCAAATATTCCTCCTGGAACTAGAGCAACCTATTGGTTTGATTACTAAGGACGGTTGCTTTCACATCTGTCAAGAACTCAGCTCTGCACTGGGTGCAAATTGTAACAACAGTAGTATTAATAATAACTAGCCTTTATTGAACTCTTTGTATATTCTAGGAATTGGGCAAATGATCTTATGACTATTAATTTATTTAATCACCAAGCAATCCCATGAGGTAGCTATCATTATTATTATTATCCCCATTTTTAGAGGTGAGAAATTGAAGAAGAGAAAGAGAATCTTGCTTAGTTAGTGTTATACAATCAGTAAGGGGTGGAGCTGGCATAGGAATCAAGCAATCTGACTAAGGGTCTACCCAAACTAAATCTGAGAAACATACCTATCCTAAAGGAGCTCACCATTACCTTAAATAGGTTTTTGAAAAGATATACTCTGAGAAATTTGGACTTGACACCACCCACTAGTGCCCAGCTGCTCCCTCCTCTGTGCTGGGACTGGGATGCATGGCCCAAGGATCCCACACAGCTGGCTGGCTGGCTGGTTCCCAGCCACAAGCTGCCACAGCCTTCCCCTTCCCCAGCCAAGGAGTTTTACTCCAGCGAACAGTAATTAAGCTTAGACTTTTCTCCCTGGTGGAGGAAGCAGTTGCATAAGAATGAGAGATTCTTCCCCAGGCATTTTTAAACTGTTTCTTTTCTTCCCTCTTCTCCACCATGTCAGTCAACCTTAAAAGTTTTTCTTTTTCTTTTTCCTTTTAGAAGACGTTTTTACTGGGCCAGGCCCCCCAACTGTCATTGCTTGTACTCTTTGTAAAGTTTTGGTTGTGAAAAAGGATTTGTGGGGCTAATCTTGGGTGGTGGCCAATCTGGTGTGCTTTGCATATCTGTATGGTTTGTGCTGCAAGCCCCTATCTTGCTTTACATCCTGGGGGCACGGCCCAGTAACCACTTGGCAAGGCTTTGTTTAGCAACTGTGCCTGAGGGGAGGAGCCCTCTCAGGTTTGATATCTGCGTTTTCCTAGCCCTGTCTCTTAAAGGGACCTACCCGGAGACTGGGTTTTCTTCTGCCTGTGTGTGTACTGTGTGTAATGTCTGTTGAAAGAGCACTAATTAATTTGGCCTAAAGAAAGAAAAGCACTTGGATCAAGCTTTTTTTTTTTTAAGAGAAGTAAAAGCCGTGGTACCTTTCAGTTTACATGACTTTAGTTTTTGAGAAATAAAAGCAGCCATAAAGATTATTGGTGAAATGCAGGTCAGATGCAAGGTTTCCTTATTCTAATGGCAGTTAGATGTACTTCCTTAGAGGGGGCGATGAGAAGCCAGGTGGGAGGGGATCCCTGAAGAAACTCCAACCAGCGTGCCCACTGAGGTGGGGCCTCAGGAAGTCCAGGAAGTTTGCAGCAGGGAGGAGCCTGGCCCCTCCTCTTCCTGTGTGGAATCTGGGATTCAAGCTGCAGGCAGGAAGTGCTCTAGCAGGGACTCTGGCCTTGGGAGAGTCCCTGTTTCCCCCTTTTCTTCCTTTTCACCCAGTGAAATCCTGTCTTACTCACCATTCAATTTGTCTGCAAGGCTGAATTTTCATGGCTATGGGACAAAGAACTCTGTCTTTAGCTGAACTAAGGAGAAGTCCTGCAACAATAAGAACATTATTTATGATAGCCAAAAAGTGGAAACAACTCAAATATCCATCAACATTTATACAGTAGAACTTTTCTGGAATGAAAAGAAACGAGGTAACAATACATGCTACAACATGGAAGAATCTTGAAAACATTATGCTAAGTGAAAAATGCTGGACACATATTACCACATAATACCACATATTACAGTATTCCATTTGTATAAAACTCTAGAAAATGTAAACTAATCTGTAGTGGCAAAAGGGAGATCAGTGTCAGTGGCTGTCTGAGATAGAGCAATGGCAAGGGAGGATGGACGAGTGATTACAAAGGGGTATAAGGAAACTTCTATGGGTGATAGTTATGTTTATTGACTTGATTGTACTCATGGTTTTCTGGGAACATACATATGTTAAAACTTATCAGATTGCACACTTAAAAATATACTGTTTATTGTTTATCTCAAAGCCACTTTAAAAAATGACAGTAATACCACTTACATTCCAGGGTTGTTATGAGACTTGAATAAGATCATTTATGTTAAAGTGCCAAAAACTAACACAAAAATTTAACATAAAAATAACCGTTTAGTAAACAGAAGTTCTAACGTAATTGTAAATAATGGAGAGTCATTTGTTTATTGAGCAGAGGCATGAAAAAGCTAAGAATCTCATTTCAGCCATTATAGTAGATCAATTTTAGTTACCCCCCCTTCATATGTACCTTAACAATGAATTAATGAATAAGTGTCCCAATGTACAAGTGCAAGTATATATGTATCTGTATTTGTGCACGTGTGTATATACATTAAGTACTCAATAATGTTGTCAACAGGTTCTTGGAAATTGATGTTAAGCGAAACTATATACTAAATGCCATAGGACCTTAACTCTTGTTTATATCAGCCTATGATAAAATTGGTTTCATTATATAGCCTGGCATTTTGCTTTAAGAAGTAGTTTCCAAGAACCTATGGATGACGTTAACTAAGGACTCACTGTACGTATGTATGTATGTGTGTGTTTACATGTATATACATTCACACACATATATATGCTTACACTTTCTTGAAAAGTCCTTTCTACACAATGCATTGGAAACTGTCTACTTTATTTTCATTTCTATTGTTATAAAAGACCTCAGGGTTGTTTGGAATCAGTGGAATCAGCAATTTTTCCTATTTTTGATGAAAGTGGGAAGGAAGTATCATCAGCTCTATTTTACAGGTGAGGAAGTGAAGGATCACTAAGATTAAATTATATCTTTAGAATCACACAGCTAGTATGTAGCCAGGCCAGGAAACATATTCAGCATAATCTAACCCAAAACTCCACAGTAGTTTAGCTCTGCGAGGCTTTCTTCCCAAATTGCTAGATCTAGTATGTGGGTACATCACTAATACCACCTCAGCAGTCACATGTACATACAAATTACCAAGATAAACCTAGCCTCACAATTAGTGTCATGTCAGTGTCAGTGAAACCAAGGCTATGGTGAAGAGGAGAAGACTCCAATTCAGCCAGCCATAAAAAAAATCATTAAATGTATGATTCAAGTTGAGTTTATAGATATTTTAAGTTCAAGCTAATATCTATGCAATAGGAATCAAATTGTTGAGACATTCAGAAATCTTAGCGCTATATACAGATCTCTGGATGGAGTCATTTTATTTTGAAGTCTCATTTTTGTCTTTGTTCTCTGCTTATTTATTTATTTTTTTTAGAGGGAGTCTTGCTCTGTCACCAGACTGGAGTGCAGTGGCGCAATCTTATCTCACTGCAACCTCCGCCTCCTGGGTTCAAGTGGTTCTCCTGCCTTAGCCTCCTGAGTAGCTGGGACTACAGGCACACGTGCCACCATGCCCAGCTAATTTTTGTATTTTTAGTAGAGACAGGGTTTCACCATGTTGGCCAGGATTGTCTCGGTCTCCTGACCTTGTGATCCACCTGCCTCAGCCTCCCAAAGTGCTGGGATTACAGGCGTGAGCCACCGTACCCAGCCATTCTCTGCTCTTAAACTAAAATTTTAGTTTTAGTAGATGCTAAAGAAGATGTGGCTAAGTGTATCAAACTAATTTATCAAGTACTATAAATTGAACAGTTTAATCCTAAACATGAAATTTTAATAAAAGTGCCTTAATAAATCTTTAAGCATGTAAGGAAAAGTTACTTATAATCATTGTAGCTTTAAAAGAGATTTTCCACCTTTTATTTGAGGTCATAATAGATATAAGACCCCTAGGGAAATATAAAAATGAGAAATAAAAAGGTATTTTGTACAGTTATGGCTAATATTACAATAGTCTCATGTCTGGGATGTTAGACCTCATGCTTTGATCCCAGACAAGCTTAAGTTAGATTGTCAGCCCTGCCACTTCCTGGTTTACTGGGTTGCACTAGGCAAGTGCTTAGTCTTTCTGGGATTCACTTTCTTATACTGTAAAATTGTGCCAATGGCAGTGCCTACCTTTAGAGTTGTTCTGTGAATTAAATAAGGTCATGTATGTTAGCAACCAGGAATGATTCAAGGTACATAGAAGCGCACTCAACAAATAGGGGATGCTATTAAAATAGAATTTGGGCTATATAGGAGTTCAATGGGTTTAACTTTACTCCATTGCCTTTCTGGGCTGCAGGCAGTAGTGGGAGCCCTGGGAAGTTAGCTCAATGATGGGTGTACACCGTGGTCCGAGGAAGGAACCTAGAACTGGGTTAAAGGATCCAATCCAAGTTCTGCATAATCAATGCTAATTGCACACTCAACTGAGGAGCGTCCAGAACATCACCTTGGCATATAAAGCATAGCTCTGACTTCACTTTTAACAATTGTTTGGGGCCGGGTGCAGTGGGTCACACCTGTAATCCCAGCACTTTGGGAGGCCAAGGGTGGGTGGATCACATGAGGTCAGGAGTTCGAGACCAGCCTGGCCAGCATGGCAAAACCCCGTCTCTACTAAAAATACAAAAATTAGCTGGGCATGGTGGTGGGCGTCTATAATCCCAGCTACTCGGGAGGCTGATACAGCAGAATCGCTTGAACCTAGGGCGAAGAGGTTACTGTGAGCCAAGATCGTGCCACTGCACTCCAGCCTGGGTGAAAGAGCAAAACTCCGTTTCAAATAAATAAATAAATAAAACAAAGTAAAATGAAAATTAAAAAAATGGAGTAACAGCTTTACAATAGCAATGCAAATGGTTAACAGTTTTGACAACTTTGTATGTGCTCTGCCCTATGTGAAACACTGTACATGCATTATCACATTGCATCCTTAATAATAATTATGAAATAGGTGCTATAATTATCCTTAGGTTATAGATGAGAAAACTGCTGTCTTGTCAGAAGGAAAGGTGCTGTTTGGTCTCTTTGCTGCCATCCCCATCTTTAGGAATTCTGGCTCAAACAAGCCACCTTCCAATTAGCAGTAACCCTCTTGTGTGTGTGTGTGTGTGTATGTGTGTGTGTGTGTGTCTGTGTGCACACGCATGTGGATGCCTGTGTGTATTTGATGGCATTATATATGGGCTAGAAATCAGTTAATTGTTCTATGAAGTCTTTCTCTGATTAGGTCCTCATCTATTTTGTGGATATTGGTTTTGTATATAAAAGGATTGTCATCAGCATCCCAGCGATGCTTTTTTTCCCAACACCCATAGCAACAGCCTTTCTTTGTGAACTAAAGTAAGTTTGATACGATTCCTCAAACTAGAGTTTTGACAGTTAGGTAAGAAAAACAGATCAGTGAGTACATGACACCCATTGTGCTGTAGAATAATCATTTTAAATAATGTATATAAAATATCATGGCATTTTTTCTGGTTTACCTTTAAATTCGTTAGCATGCCAGAAATGCAATTGGCTAGCTGTGATCAGTCCCCATTCCCCAAAAGGCAAACACTTCATGGGTTGCCAGTGAGAAGTATCACCTGCATACCTGCGTAGAGACATTCTTTCTCTAGCACACAAGGCTTATCCCTGAGACTGGAAATATTGAGCAGTCTCTAATTGGCTAGAAGAGCCAGGCCTGGCAAGTCCAGAAGTAATTTCTAGGCTCTCTCCAACCCCACCCGAACTTAAACTTTGGCTTCGTGTTTTATGAGTCTGAAGGCTGTATGCCCAGCTTCTGTAAAGGGGGAAATTTATAAGTCCCCAGGAATAAGAAAGAGGATAAAAGAGAGTAAAATGAGATACTAGAAACCTGGTGTAGAGAATACATAATAGAATTGATCCCATAAATGTATCCTAAAGCTGGGACTCAGCATTCCAGCTCATCATCAAAAGAGATAAGCAATGCTATCTCAAGACCTAGGTTGCCATAAAAGAGTGTGGAATGAGTACAGTTAGGAATGGATCAGGCTAGTCTAGAGGTGGGTGCACATGAATAAATCAAGGGAGACAAATATTGTAAAAGTAATTATAAGGGACATTATGTTTAAGAAAGAGAATGTAGAATGCTATGTGACCATAAAATAGGGTGATAAAATGGGATAATAGCATGTGACCATAACCATAAAATAGGGTGATAAAATGGGATAATAGCATATGATGAAGGCAAAAGCAAGTATACAAATATTTTTTAAAAGTTTAATGTCCATTTAATAAATGGTGCGGGGAGAACTGGTTAGCTGTATGCAGAAAAATGGAACTGGACCCCTTCCTTACACCTTATACAAAAATTAACTCAAGATGGATTACAGACTTAAATGTAAAACCCAAAACTACAAAAGCCCTAGAAGAAAATCTAGGCAATACCATTCAGGACACAGTCATGGGCCAAAATTTCATGACAAAATCACCAAAAACAATGGCAACTAAAGCAAATAATTGATGAATGCAATCTAATTAAACTAAAGAGCTTCTGCACAGCAAGAGAAACTATCATCAGAGCAAACTGACAACTTACAGAATGGGATAAAATTTTTGCCATCTATCCATCTCACAAAGGTCTAATATCTAGAGTTTACAAGGAACTTAAGTGAATTTTCAAGAAAAAAAAAATCATTAAAAACTGGG